CACCAGTAAAACGTAATATTAGCATGTGATAAGCTGTTAGCCAATCAGAAATGAGATCTACTGATGACCAATAGAAACCTGGGGGGAAATTAGTAAATGCGAAAACCATCTGGTTTTTACAGGTTACAGAGGTAATGTTAATTGAATATCTTCATTTGATACATATGATGAAAGATGTTTTAACTAACGTTGTTTTCTAGGAGCTGAATAAGTGATGTTAATTTAATAGCTGTAACAACTTTATCTATAATTTGAAATTTATCATACTCAAGCCATGTATTTCCAACCAAATTATATATATATGCAAAGCAAGTATTATGTCGCATTTGTGGAATTAATGGCAACAAAATATCTGAAAACGATTTCTTCATATAACTTGCATTATCACTAATATATAAAATAATATTTTCAAAGGGCAAGTTATAAGAAGAAATTGTTGAAACAACTAATTGCAAAATAGTAGAAAAGTTAACTTCTGTAAAAAATTCAGTTTTTACAAGTTTCATTAAATTATCGAAACTAAAAAGTATATTAACAATGTTTCTTTCACATTCATCAGTTGTCTCATCAACAATAATGCAAACTTTTTTATTTCGAATATAAATATGCAACTTTTCTAGTTCAATGTCATAAACAAGAGGCAAATATTGTTGTCAAAGTTGACAAGCACTTACGATTGAATTGCCTAATAATTAAATTTATTAATATATTATATATTTTATGCTTTTTTTTTAAAAAAAATAAATACCATTTGTGCAATATTTTTGTAAGAATGGTTTTAATTTTTTAACTTTTTCTAAAGGAATATCTGCTTTTGTAAAAGCTTTAATTAAATCGGCATTAATTTCTTGTTTATCAGTTACTTGGGTTTGAAGCATAATTAAATTTTGTTGATTTAGTGAAGTTTCTCTAGATTCGGTATTACTAGATTCGGTAATTTATTTTTGCATTTTATGTTTATTAGTTTTTAAGTGTAAATCTAGGTTATGTTTCTTATAGTGATCAACAAGACTTTTGCAAAAAATGCATTAAAATTTTCCTTCACTTTCATAAAAATCGGGTTTGTATTGAGGATATTTATCTAAAAGCATTGTTATCTTTAAAAAGAGAACCGTTCCTATATATTTGATCTATAAATTTATCTTTAACCAATCAGTTAAAGGTAATAATTATATGTTAGTGCGATAATAGCAAAATTTGCATCTCAGCATAAAATAGCATTACTAGCTATTTGCTATAAAATAGCGCTATTTTAGATGCTACGAAAAACCACTGGCTCTGATTCTAGTGTTGTATTACACCTTTCATTACAATGAAATTATATTGTAATTTACAAAATGTAATGTAACTTTACAATATAGCGCATTGTCACATGATAATTGCACTAGCATTACAAAAGTTTTGCCGGCATTAATAGATATCCATCATTGTGTTTGGAATCAAAAATTTTGGCCGAATTAATCACATGATCAAAATTTTGATTTCAGAAACTCACGTAAAATTACGTAAAATTACGGTAATTTTCCTTTTCTCGCGGATGACGCATATACGACGTACGCGTAAAAAAATATATATATAAATATGACACATATTCAACTCCAACATACTTATTTTAAGATCGTGAAGATTTCAGAGTTGTCAACACATACGCTAAACCATGACTGCTGCAAAAAAGAGATACAGACGTGTTATGAGCAAAAATGGACCAGTAGAAGAGGCGAAAAACAATGTTGAAGAAGAAATAGAGAAAATAGGAGAGTCGGAAAGCAATAGCGAGCAGGTAGATATATTTTTTTTAACTGTAGTTTAGCCAAGACTTTTGAGTTACTTGATCTGAGACCATCTTACAAGGTGGTTGGTTGCGGTGGAGTCAATTGTTGGAGGTAGCTAATCGGCTATTGAAGCCTTTGGCCCGATTCCATAAGAGTTAGCTTAAAAGAGTTCTTTTGAATAAGTGCTTTTGACTTTTCGTTCTAAGATGTTAAATATGTACTTTACTTATTCTAAAACAAGGAACTTGTGCTTGCTATGCTACTAACAAAAGATTACTACTTAATAATTATTAATAACCAAGACTTTTGGGTTATTCTAAAACAAGGAACTTGTGCTTTTTATTACAAGTACAATTATTAATTAATTTATTTATTTCCTTTTTTTTTACACAAGGAAAATGAACCAAGTAACCAAGAAACATCAAATATTATCGCAAATATATCGAAATATTTACTTAAGAAGGACCGGCTGTTAATTTCCTCCAATGAAAGGATCGATTTTTTATCGTCTGAATTGAATAAATCCAAACGAGATGTTCTGGATTTGAAAAATACAATACATGAAATGGAAAATGAACTAAATGAAAATAACCTGGACATTATGGCATTAAATTTTCAAAATTCTTATCTCATCGAAGAAAATAAAAAACTTTCAAAAATGGATGAGGATAATCTCGGACAAATTAAAAATCTTTTGATCCAAGTGAATTATTTGGCAGGGGTTATTCGAAGTCAATCAGAAAAAACTATTTTAAATCGTAAAAAAAGAAGATTAAGTTTTTAAAGAGTAGGACCATGTTCAATTTTTTGGTTTTTTTTTTTCGAATTATGTAGTTTGGGTTTAGGTATTGGAAATAATAACCAACATCCAAATACTGTAGATGTTTTATTTTCAATCATTAGTGCCATAGCTCTAATAAATTGATTGCTTCTTATGACTCAGTCGGGTCAACTCTGAAAACATTCTTTTTTTTAATTATAAAATTGTAAGTTTTTAGTTCTCTAGATCTAAGCCAATATTATAAGATATTTATTTATAATATACGTATAAAAACTAGAGTTGTAACCTAAACCTTTTTTTGTTTGCGGTGTCAAGAACCCTGTTTACGTATTAAAAATATGTGTATTTAAATAATGTAAAGTCGAATTTAAATTGGACTGGGACCCGTGGGTCGATAGTGTATAGCGCTCCTGGGTGTTCGAATCCAACTGACAAGGCTATGCTAGGATCACAATTAGAAATGATCGAGAAGACCTTTTCCGAACTACCCCAGTGGCACCGACCGATTTTCATTGATCGACAATCAAAACAACGAATATGCGCAATTTTTTATAAAGCCACTGGGGTAGTTACATATAGGATAACTTTCTCGTGATTGGTCGTCACATGAAATTGAATAACACGTTATTATTGGCCAATTGTGAAAC